GCCGGTATTTTGTATTTTTGTGAAATAGTATTAATTTCAGCCTCCGACATGCCCTTTGTGATGATGTTTGTCCAACGACTTGCTAATGCTGAATGCACTTTTATTGCTTCACATTCCTTCGAGGAAGGATCTTCCCCTAAAATATTGAGCACTTCGTCCGGTAGTTCAATATAATAATAATAATAATAATAAAAGGACTTTATTAAAAAATTGAAAAAAAATACAGATACAATAAGTTGAATAATTACATAATTTTAAGTAAGGTTGGTATAAAGAACGGGTTGCTACCCCGTGGCGAAGTCTAGCACCAGGAGCTATTTTTACTCAACCACAAAGTAGGCCCATTACTTTATGTAAAATAAAACAGGTGTTCCCAAATGGTACCGCACCAATTAAAAAAATTCCATTTTTTGTTGTTTTATTAGTTGTTTTTTTCTTGCTCTTCCATGCATCGACCATCCCACAGCACAACATTTCACTATCACTCCAATCTATCTTTTTCTTTATCTATTATTATGGGATTGAATAGAAAACAGAAACTGCCGGTATTTAATCTTAAATTGATGTACATTTAGTTGTTTTAATTCATCTAGAGTCTCATTATACAATTTAATGGCATTGTAAATGCAGCTCCTTTGATACACACAAGTTCTGAAACGAGGGACCTGATACTGTTTTTTGTGTCTAATGTTTACATTATGAAGAGTGGACCGAGGAATAAATTTATTTTTTAGAATTTTAGATGAGCTATCCGTTGTTAGAACACAATGGACAAAGTTGGCGAGGTGGTGTTTCCTACGGTTTTCCATATTTAGCCAAGAGGCATCTGTCACTTTCTGGGAAATTCTGTCAAACTTCTTTAGACCGTAAATCAGTCTACAACAGTTATTTTGCATTTTTTGTATTCTGAATTTATCGTTACTGTAAAGGCAGTTGCTATAAAGAAAATCACAGTAGTTATAGTTTGACAGAACCAGGCTTTCACAAAGATTTTTTTTAAGTTTTAAGTCCAAAATATGTCTATTTGAATATAAGAGTTTAAGAGAACAGAATGCTTTTCTGCTTATATTTTTGACATGCTCAACAAATCTTAAATCTTCGTCAATTGTAAGGCCAAGACTTTTGACAGAAGTTTCGAATGGCAGCAGTACGTTATTAATTTTTACGCTGAGGTTTTGCTTAATAAAATTCCGATCTTTTAGTTTTCCAAAGCATATTGCCTGTGATTTTTTGGAATTGAGTAAGAGGTTGTGTTCCTCTGATAGTTGCTGAATTTTACTTAGTTCGTTGTTAATTGTATTTTCCGCTTCTGCGTAATCCGAAACTTTAAAGTGATGGTAAATTTGCTTGTCATCCGCATAGGCCGCTACAGAACAGAGACTTACGGAGTTGAGGATGTCGATTGTATATATAATAAACATAAGGGGTGCTAGAATAGAGCCCTGGGGGACTCCACTTAAGATAGCAGAATTTTGAGAAGACACTCCATTGAAACTTATTTTTTGAAACCTCTCCGAGAAGTAAGACTTGATCAAAGAAACAGAGTCATAATCAAATCCATAAAATTTTAATTTTGAGCACATTAATCGATGGTCTATTGTATCGAAGGCTTTTGAGAAATCCAGCAAAACAAGCACGCTAATCTCTCCTGAATCCCAGGCTGACATAATATCATCCAGTATTGTGGTCAAAGCGGTTGCTGTGCTGAAATTTTTTCTGAAGCCGCACTGAGTGTCGGGAAGAATCTTGTTTTCAATTATATACTTGAAAATCTGGTTATATAGGACACGTTCTAATATTTTGGACATAGCTGGCAACAAACTTATTATTCTAACATCGGCAAGACTCTGAGGATTTGTGTTTTTAGCCAGTGGCGTACCAATTGATGTTTTCCAGATCTTAGGAAAGTAGTTTTGCTCGATACAACAATTAATTATGTTCAAGATATACACGTCAATGTATGGACTGCACATTTTTAACATTCTAGCTGATACGTTGTCACAGCCATAGGCATTGGTTTTAATATTATTTAGAATTTTATGGATATCCTCGACTGAAGCAAATGAAAATGAAAACGTGAGATTTTGATTGAACAGATGGTTGTTATAAAAGTTGATCTGATTATTGCATTTTGCAGAAACTTTCTGAAAAAATGGAGAGAAATAATTATTGATTTCTTCTGCAGAGAAACGTTTTGGTGGAATCAAAGAGCTGTTTTTTTTTGTTTTTATGTGTAGATTTTCCAGAGTTTTCCAGATCTTTTTCGGGTCGTTCTCAGTAGAGATATTTTTTAGATAGTTTTTTTTTGCAGTCCTGATAAGTTGAAGAGTTTGGTTGCGCAAGTTTTTATATGTAGTCCAATCTAGGGCAAGTCTGGTGCGTTTATATTTCTGTAAGGCCTTATTTCTGCTTTTTTGTGCAGTTTTAATTTCATAGTTTAGCCAAGGAGCTTTAGGCTTTGTAATTCTGCATTCACGAATTGGAGCGTGCTTGTCAAAAACACTTAAAAGCAGCGAGTTAAATATATCGAGCTTCTTATCGATGTTTCTTTCATGAAATATTTGTTGAAAATTTAGAGAAGTGAGATCCGTGTAAAAGTCATCAAAGTTGAGATTACGAAAACACCTTGTTTTAACTATTTTTGGTTTAGGTTTGGTGAGGTTTATTTTGAGTTTTGCATGAACTAAATGATGGTCAGTTGTTTCGTGACAGGAGATGGTACCACATGATTCAACAAGAGATGTGTCATTAATAAAAATGGGGTCGATTAAGGAACTACATTTTTCGGTCACCCTAGTAGGCTCATTCAATAACTGCGATAAGCCAAACGACTCAAAGCAGGTTAGAGTTGGATTATTTAGATCAAAAAAATTAACATTTAAGTCGCCGAAACATATTAGTATATCACACTGCATAGAAAGGTATGGTAGAATATTTTCAATGTCATTATTAAAGCTGTTGATGTTTGACTTTGGTGGTCTATAGAAGGCCCCGGTTATCATGGATCTAGAGGGGAGTTTAACTTTTACAAACAAAAGTTCCAAGGTGTTAGTGATCTGAAAATCGAAGGTTATTACAGAAAAGTTGTGTATATTTTTAATATAACCGCAGACACCACCACCCCTGCCATCTCTGTCTTTTCTGGTTAACGTGTAACCGTCTATGTTTACAGCATTGTCCTGAATATTTTCAGATAACCATGTTTCTGTCACAAAAACAATATCAAAATCCTTCTCCAAAACCAAGCTCCTAAAGTTATTGAACCCCGTAGATAACGATCTAATGTTGACATGTGCTAATTTCATGACAGGTATTAGTACTTAAAAGTTATAGAAAAAAAAGAAGAAAAAAATAAAATAAATTATTTGCATCTCTAGGTAGTGCGAATGTAGTGCATAGTGGGTAAAGCAGTCTAAATATAGATAAACAATTTAATATTTTCCAAATAAATAGGCTGAGGTGCAACAAGAGAACAAGTTCCAAGTTGCTTTTTTAATGCAGGAAGGAGGCGAAGATAGCCTTGTTTGAAAGAGCGGAAATAATTCAAGATTTGGTACAACAAAAATTTGGGAACCAGCAAAAAATAATAATAGATTGCACTAAAGGCAATTTGCGGACAGCCTCTGCCTGCCCCCTAGAATTTTCAATTTATTTTTTTTCCTTCTCCTTTTTACTTAAATGTGTTCAGGTACAAATAAAGATATTGAGTAGGTATTAATAAAAAAAATAAAAAAAAAATTGAAGACTAATATTTTGTACTTAATTATTCTGATTTCAATAGGTGAAGTTTTAATTTCATTGTCTGAAATTTAATAATCAAAACCACCAAATAGTTGAATATCATTGTGAATCATGAGTTCATCTGTCACGAGTGATGCCATGTCGCTCGGACTATGGGCTCCACTCTCGTTATATTCTGTTGTGCGTGCCAAGTCGCGCGGATCTTGGGCTACACCGATAAATTCTGAACTTACTGGACTATTACAAACCGGCTCTTGTCGGGCAGCGGGCGCCGGCGACGTAGCAATAGAGGGAGAGCGAGAACGTCGTCGAGAGGCCGACCTCTCGCGTCTCCAGCCCCCGGGCCCATCGCTACGTTCCGCACGGGAACGTGACCTTGAGCGATGTTTTTTATAAAAGGATTCTAATTTAGCAAGTCTTTTCAGCACATCTTTGTCGGTTACGTTATTATCCGAATCACTACTTGAAGAACGATGTCTTCGCTTCCTATGTTTGTGTTTTCCCATGCTAAAAAGTAAAATTATATTTTACTTACGTGTATTAAAATACGTCGTTGTTTAGGCGATCGAAGGCACAGTACTCGCGTGTAGCACAAGAAGACGAATGACGAGACACGCGCGGGAAATGGAGATCGGAGAACCGAGCGGCGATCAGGAAACGGGGGGATAAAAATCCTCTTTAAAATCTTGTGGTAGTAGTACGAAAAGGCGGACTACATGGTAAAATAATTAACATCTTTGGACTGGCTGACGAAATATAATGGTTATTGTGGAAGCTCTTTAAAATTGATGGAGAGTTATTTGCAAAATAGAGTACAATTGAGGCGTTGAGAGCTAGAGTGGCCTAACCCCAAATTGAAGATTTCAAAAATATTGAGTTCAAAAATTACCATAAAATTTGTTTTAATTTTTTTTTGTTAAAATTAGCTTGTAGGCAGAAAAATTTTGAAAAATAGTTAAATCTAACATAGAGGTATAAGGTCTGTCATTAAAAAATTTTGATTTTTCAAAAATTTGAACTTTGATGTGGGTTAGGCCACTTCAGAATCTTGAAAACAATGGGAATCATTCATAATCTGGCAGCCTAACCCAAACCAAATTATGGAATTCTTTAGTGGTACGAAAAAAGTTGCATAAAGTATCGAAAAGATGCTTTATTGAAAAAAAAAAAAATAAAACAATGTACCTATTTCTGATTATAATTCGATACTAAAAAAACTAGGCTTCAGCGTTTTCATCATCATTTGTATCAAAATTTTCTCAATTTTCTCCCTCAGCATGCTCATCAGCCAGTTCATCAGCTGCTGTCGAAGAAGTTTTCAGACCTTCATAAAATGGGTGGTATATGGGCGGAATATAAGGAAGAAGTTCCATAAGATCTTGTTTCTTTTTTTTTTCAATTGGCCTACCATTTGGGAACAGCAGTTGTACAGCATTAACTTGATTACCTGCCTTGCGCTTTGACACATTTACAGAGTTGAATAAAACATCCTCTGAGTTAGAATATTTGAACTGAAAACGGTGCTTGTTTTCAGAAGTGTATCTAAGCCATTGCATTTTCATCCATTCGACCTTTGAACCATTTTCAGAAACTTTTCTATTAGTTATGCTGTTTTCCAGGACTCTGGTAGAAAAAAATCTTTTCCGGATATTTCAATTACCTGAAAAGGCTTTTTTTTACGTGCAGATTTTATAACTGTTACCCAATGGACGGGTAAAAATATATCTTTATGGAACTTTTTCTCTTTTTCCACTATGCCAAAGTCCTGATCACAAGGCAGATAAGAATGGCCTGATACCAAAAATTTGTGATCTATTTCATTCACAGTAAATTCTGTCGATGTTGTGATAAAGTCGCAAATAAGCGCCATTTTTATGTTCCTATTTTGGCCACCACATTGGTCACTGTACATAATGAGTTTTTTTTCCTTAACAAAATTTTTACAATAGTGTAACAAACACGATCCAATTTCTTGCGGCCCTCTTGAAGCAATTGATTCATTCCATACATACATAATAGCAGTATTTTTGGCAAGGTTGTGTATACCTAAAACATTAGCTACAGAATTTGCAAAACAAAAATTTGAGTTTAATTTTTAGTTACCTAGACAATAGGTCCACAACTGACGTTTATAGTAGGTAATACCTGTCGAAAGTACAGGGGTTGGAAGGGTCTTCATTAAATCAAATGCTATTGCAGCCATTTCGTTTTCTTCAATCATTGCTTTTTCTCCATCTTTTTTAATTTCTGATCTAGCCAGCTCCGCTTTACGCAAATGTAACTCTTTTTCAATCTCTAGATTTCTTTTTTCCTCACCTTCGGTAACCTTTAGCTTGTTATTAAATTCGTCACATTTTCGGCAGCTGTCAGTTATTGGAGCGTGGAAATGCAAGTTAAAACGAGTATTAAAAATATTTCTAAAAATATATCTACTAACTGCTGATTCTGCTTGATCCTTATACAAACTATACATTATTGTTATATTCAGATCTGGGGCCAAATACTTTCTATTGCCACTTTTTGGCCTAGAATAATGGCATTCAAAAACTGGAAAGCGTTTAATAAAATCCATTACTTCTAAAACTTTGGCTTCGGGAGTTTTGTTCGCTGAAGGGTGTTTTCCTCTTTTATCTTTTGGTGGTATTCCCTCAGGTTTGCTTTTTAAAATCCTCGATAATCGACCGTCAGAAACTTGTAAGTTCTTTTTGAAAAAGTCCTTGCAGACTTTTACATCTAAACCATTTTCATTGGGCAAATAGTAAATTCTAGTAAATTGGCGGCGACTCTCTGGATTTTCTGTGTAAAGGCGAGTTTTTTTAATAACCTTAATCTGTCCAAAAATGTAAGCCGTCTGCAAATTGAAATCAGCCAGATCATAAAACTTTTTGAAAATAGCTTCGCTCTGAGCTTCACTAATCTTTTCATGGCATTTATTACCACATTGGCATACAGGAATTTCGAATGTCTTTTTAGAAACCTGGACTCCCCTTGTATTTTTGTAAGCAAGACCTAAGGCTCTTTTAGTTTTCCGTTGATTGCAAGCCCAACTTTTTTCTCTTCTGACCCTTTTTCTGCTGCTTTGCGGGGTTGTTACAATGGCCGTGCTTTCTTCGCTACTTTCAGAGTCGGCCTCTGTTGGTTTTGGCACTTCAGGTTCATATTCAGAATCTTCATCTGTAGCATAAGGATCTGAATATTCTGAATCTGAATCTCCTGAAGAAATATCAATTACTTAATAATTTGCGACTAGCTCAGAAAAATATCTTAAAATAAGTTTTTGTGTGGTTTTTGTTTGTAATGAGCACCTAAAAACTATTTTCAACCCTGTTAGGTATTATAAAACTTACCATCAATATCCATGTTCTCCATGGGGGAGAAAATAATATTTTTTATATCACTTTCTAGAGCGAAGAGAATAAAAAACTGCATGAAACATGAAGAACACAAAACAAACCACACGAACAGCTGATATGTCAAAAATTAAAATATCACAGTGGCCTAACCCTCTTTAGGCCAGTATAGCATTTTATTTAGTGGGTCATATCTAAATGCTAAAACAATATTTGTGGTGACATCTCTAAAAGTGATAAAGAACTAGGGTTAGGCCGTTCTAACATTGAAAATATAGGCAATTACCATTACGATACTGACCTTAACATAAAATGGCAAATTTTGTGGGTTAGGCCACTTTAGTTCTCAACGCCTCAATTGATGATGATGATATTGATGAAGTTCTCAGCGAGCTACTTGTGGTGGATTGCGGCGTCCCGCAGGGAACTGTCTTAGGCGCTGTCCTATTTAATATTTATATTAATGATATATACAGGGTGGATGGTGAAGCTGAGCTGACAAGTTTCGCGGATGACACCGGACTTCGCTACTCGGCTGCGTCCTGGAGGGAACTTTATAATTTATTAATTCGTGACTTTCCAAAATATGTTGACTAGTTCAATAATCACCTTTTAAGTATTAATTATAAAAAAAACGTTTTTTATGCCATTTACCAGCTATGCTAACGGCTTACCAGAATTCGATACATTGGTCATCCAACACAATTCTCAGACTATTGAAATCGCACGCTGTACATATTTTAAATATCTAGGAATCTATATCGATAACCACTTAAGGTGGGACTATCATATTGCCTACGTTAACAAAAAGCTAAGATCCCTTTTACATTTATTTAGTTTGTACAGAAATTTTTTTTCATTGGTTATGCTCAAAACAATTTATTTTGCATTGGTACAATCGCACCTAACTTATGGTTTAATTGCATGGGGTGGGGTAGCTAAAACACACTTGAGAAATCTAAACACAACGCAGAAATGGATGCTTAAAATAATTTATAAAAAAGATAGGCTTTACCCTTCAGACTTATTGTTCTCTGAAACAAGTATATATAGATACAAACAAAGCAATGGGTCCGGATGGCATTCTCGCAATAGTACTCAAAAATTGCGCCAACGAACTCACCCCAACTTTCGCAAAATTATTCAATTTGTCTTACAGGCAAGGAGTATATCCATCATCATGGAAGTCTGCCGCAGTACAACCCATTCCAAAGAAAGGAAAAAAGACAGATCCGTTAAACTATAGACCAATTGCTCTACTTCCGGTGATATCAAAAGTAATGGAAAGAGTTGTGAACAATCACCTAACCAAGTACTTGGAAAAGTACAAAATTATCAACGATAAGCAATACGGATTTCGAAAATATAGGTCAACTGGCGATTTACTTACATACGTCACTCACTTATGACAAAAAGCGATTGAGTTGCGGGGTGAAACAAGAACAATTGCCTTAGATATATCTAAAGCATTCGACAAAGTTTGGCATGAAAATCTGCTCAACAAGCTCAAAGCAATGGGATTATCGCCGAAACTTTGCACTTGGTTTGAAAGTTACCCAAAGGACAGATCCATTTATGTTGCACTGGATGGCCAGAACTCCAACTCTTACCAAATAAATGCTGGTGTGCCACAGGGAGCAATCCTTTCGCCAACTCTTTTTCTGATTTACATAAATGACCTCATAGATAAAACAGTAAATCCACTTTATTGCTTTGCCGACGATGGCAATGTAGTCTCCTCACTTATACCACCCACAGATCTTTCCGCACGTGAATTCCATCATCTTAGACTAACTCAAATATCGCAGATAAATAACGACCTGGAGATAATAGAGGACTGGGGTAACAAAAACCTTGTACAGTTCAACGCACAGAAAACCCAAGCAGCTCTGTTTTCAAAAAAGAACAGCACCGGTGAGCCAAACATCATGCTATCTGGAAGTGCTGTCACATTAGAGAGTCAGTTGAACATCTTGGGGGTTACTGCAGAGACCAACATGTCTTGGCACAATCACGTGGCAGATATTGCTAAAAGGGCGTCCCAAAAGCTGGGGGTGCTATTTCGTACAAGACATCTGTACACACCAAGCCAATTGCTGACACTCTACAAAGCCCAGATTCGACCAACTATGGAGTACTGCTCACATATATGGAGTGCAGCACCCAAACATACCTTAATGCTTTTGAACACCGTGCAAAAACGAGCTATCAAGCTGATCAATGACCCCGCACTTACTCGTAACTTGGATGGTCTCGAACATCGCAGATCTGTGGGCGATTTATCTCTCTTCTACAGGTACTATCACGGAAAATGCTCTGAAGAGTTGGCACGTATGATTCCACCGAGAGTAGCGCCTACCAGGCGAACCCGTCAAACAGACGGTAAGTATCTTTGACACCAGAATGCTATTTTTTCAAATTATCTCAATAAGGCTACACAACAAAAAGATTTCAATCAAAAACATGACGATAATACACGTTTTAGACAGAATGCCATAATAAAGCCGCAAGTAAAAAAGACACTTGGCCAAAGATGTTTCACATACCTAAGTGCGGATATTTACAACAGAGTTCCTTGTCTGATAAGAACCACACAGTCAACCACGACTTTTAAAAAATCCCTTAAAGCATTTATGCAAAGAAACATTTCTAGGACTGAAATACTATATAATCTACTAGACTAGAAAAAATTAAAAAAAACAAAAAAAAAAAACAAAAAAAAAGTAATAAATGAATAAAATAAAAAAAATAAAAAAAAAAAAAATAAATAAAACAAGAAATAAAAATATAAAATGTAAATCTTAATTAGGTACAATTTTAATTTTTAAAACATTGTAATAAAACTATTAAAACTAAGTTGTTATTGGTAGATGTACATAATAATTTTTGGTATTAATGCAAATAAGTAGGTATAGGTGCAGGTGGTATATTGTAATATTGTATAAAGTAATATAGTATGTAAGTAAAGTAGAGGTAAGTGTACTATTTAGAATTTGCATTTGTATATATTTAAATTTAAATTGCTTCTCCACCTTAAATTCTACCTACCAAAGGTTTAATTCCCCACGCGCGAGATTTTCTCTTGTGGGTTATACCCTGTGTTTATTGTGCGAAGGTAAAAAAAAGGAATGTATTTAAATGTAACTTTTTTGGTCAATAAATGCTTAATAATAATAATAATAATATTTATACGATCAAACGAACTTACCTGTGAAGTTCGATCGTAATTATGCGAAACATCCAGTCTTTGACATCTTTGATAATAACTATGTAGTACGGTCCTGTGTACCGTCTGCCGTGCACCTATTTTAAAGCAAAGCGCGAAGTGGGCAACCCTACTCTTCTGCTATATACCCTTCCTCGCTCCGCTTTAATCAATCATCATTTCTTCAAAGCAGTGGCGGCTGGCCCTAAAGGGCCAAGGGGCCGTGGCACTGGCGCAAAATATGTCGGTCCTTTTAAAATATTTTTTTTTTTTTGTTTTTAGTTCAATAGTTATTACAATCGCCAGATCAAATTACTTATCATTTCATAATTTAATCCTGACTGAAAAATTTCTGTCGTTATTATTCCTAAATTTCCTAGACAATAATTTAAGCGACTGACTAAACTAAACTCGCTGGACTATCCTTCCGAGCCCATCTCGTTTTTATACGTACTAGGTCATGAGCGCGCTTCGCGCGCTTTTTTTCCTAAATTAAGTCTGTCAAAATGAAAACAATTATAAAGTGGAAAATATTTATTAAGTGTTGTACGAAAAACAACATAATTTTTGATTTAAATGTACATTATACATTATAATGTAATAGTGAGATAGGTTGTATAGATGTCATTTTAGTGAAGAAATTTCAAATGCGATGCAATTATTTTTATATGGTATATCGTAATGATTTTAAATCGATCACATTTCTTGAATTGAATGTGTGTGTATGTCCAGTGCATCTTATTCTATGTTATGGAACTCGTAGGTATCCGTTTTTCGCAGTGGTTTGATTGAAACAGAATAATCATTAATCATAACCGTAATAAAGGTGTTAATATAAAACCGAATTATAAACTATTTATATGCGGTGGTATAATACGAGATATCGAGTCTTAAAAACTTTTTGCATTTTCATGGAGTTCCTTTTTTTGATTAAGTCAGTTATTGAAGTCTACTCGATCAACTTCTTACTGCGAAAAACCGAAAAAAAAAAAATTATTAAAAATATTTTAAATTCAATTATTAAATTATTCAACTTACATTTTTTGTTTGTACGTGGTAGACATAAATTTCAAATGCGATGAAAGAAGTTGAGTAGTGAGTAGAATAATTACTTTTGTGGTACCTCGTAATCACTTTAAATCGATCACATTTTTTGAATATACAGTCGGTGTACATATATGTCCAGTGCATCTTATTCTGTTTTATGGAACTCGTAAGTATTTAAGGTTCAAAGAGTGCTAATTCTTTTCTACACTGTTGTACAACACCTGAAAGTAATAGACAGAAATAAAATAAATACAATTAAAATATTGCAGTCCCTACCAATTTTTGTGGCTGTTCATGTGGCTGTTATTAAATAAATCTGCAACTAAGCTAGTTTCTCATATACACTTTCATCTTTATCTTTTCTTTTCTTTTTCGGTTTTCTTATAAATCTGTAAATAGGTTGTTCTCCGTTATATTCAATCATTTATGTTTATCGTGTTTAATTTGTAACTTGTGATCTTCAAATATCTTGTGAATCTCTGCTGAAATCACCTGCAAATTTTCAAAACTAAATTATTAAAAAAACAATTCTTTAAAAACATGGTTTTTGACAACACTATTGCTTCTTTGTTTCCCTAAATAAACTTTCAATGAGTCCCACGAACGAACTCTGGAAAGCGCCACATAAAGTTGTCCGTGACTAAATACATCCTTTCTGAGATCAATTCCTATCCTATCAAATGTTTGTCCTTGAGATTTATTAATCGTCATTGCAAAGGCCAATTTTATCGGAAATTGTCTCCGTTTGAATGTAAAAGGGTAGACGTTTTCGCAGTAGAGTGTTATTCGATTTATGAACACTATTTCTCCTTGTTTATCTCCAGTCAATATTTCACAGCGTAACAGATTATCCCCAAGTTCCAGAACTAATAACCTTGTACCATTGCAAAGACCTTCACTGATGCTTAAATTTCTAATGAGCATAACAATAGAATTCGTTCTCAATCGTAATTCATGGGGCGGGAAGTTCGGCGGGTTAAGCGAATTTAAATATTCTGGAAGAATAGCATCATTTAGATCACCATTATCACAGTTCTCGACACTATCTACACTGGTGTAGAGTTTTTCGGTCTTGACGTCCAACAATTCGACAACTTGTTTGTTTATTTCTTCGACGTCAACATTTCTTGCAGAAAGTATTGCAGATTTGGTCAAGTCCCTGAATCTTCCTTCTCTTAGTACTTCTCCATAGATGTTTTCAATAATATCCGAATTATCAATACATTTCTCTGGCAATTTTAGATTGTCATTGGAATCATTTAGTGTTCCATTTCCGACGTCCAATAAAAATTTGGAAAATTCAAGTTCTTCTGCTAGAGCTCGCATATTTTGTGTCAAAGAAAATTTACGGAAATAATTCCAAAGCGAACTGAATTTGATACTAAGACTGACTATTTCACTGCGTGTACCATGAACCTTTACTGGCAACAGCTGTCGAAAGTCCCCACCCAAAATCATTATTTTACCTCCAAAAGGCAACCTATTGTTCGTTAAATCGCGTAATGTTCTCTCGATAACTTCTAATGCATCCTTTGGTGCCATTGGTGCTTCGTCCCAAATGAAAACGTCGACACTTTTAAGATAGTTTGCCTCTTTCGTATTGTTTTTAATGCTCGAATTGGAGTCCGAAAATAGAGGAACTGGTAATCCGAACGTTTTATGCACTGTTCTTCCATGTGGAAGCAATGTGGCTGCGATACCGGTGAACGCCATCGTACAAACATTTTTATTTCTCGTCTTCAGCATACCATAAAGGGTAGTGTATAGATATGTTTTACCGGATCCACCAGGACCGTCAATATAGATGCAAGAGGTCTCTTCATTGTTCTCATCTGTTTGGTTGTCAGCTTTTTCTAAAATGAAATCTACAATTTCCTTTTGTTTTGCATTTAAAGAATCGTATTGATTTAGCAATGTATCAAATGCTTCTTCTTCATTCAAAATTTCCATGTCGTTACTGACATTATCCAAATCAGTTATTTGTGGCATAGTAGGAAACATTGAAATACTCCAGCCTTCTAGATTCAACATCGAATCAAGTTGAACGTAGGCCTTTTTCATATCTTGACTGCCGTTATATTTTCTTCGATAGTCTTCTGACAATGCATCTTTAAATTCTTCCCAAAGTTCTTCAGGATGTATTGGTTGACAATGTATTAAAATACGAACAAAAAGATATCGAAGTTGTCTTGGCATCATCCAAATTTCAGCTTCATTCATTGCCCTTTTCCATTCGTGGTCATCTTCAATAAGCCCTAATTCCAAACATGCAGCCATAAATGATTCCTGTCTTACTCCATTAACAGTTTTTATATCCTCAAAACTCAGTGGTCCTTTAACATGAAGTAATAAAATTCTAAGATGGAAAAGCTCAGTTTGAGTTGGACTAACAGAGTACATACGACCAATCACATTAAATTGTCTTTGACGATGGATCCATTGATATTTGCCATCTACTTTTTTAAACACATAGTATGTCGGTATTGTGCTGTAACTATACTGACGGGCTTCTGGGTTTCGAGAATTTAAGGCAAAATAGTCAATTAACATTGTTTGCCGTTCTAAAGCACTTCTGATTTCATTGTCATCGCAATCATCAGCAATAAACACATTTTGTTGGTTTGGCAAATGAACTGGCAGTCTTGTAATCGAATGACTTTTGTCTTGCAAAGGCTTTTCTAAAATTCTCCATGCAGCTTCAACTGGTCCGACATATCTTGTTTCAATAAAATTTCGGATTTCATCGTGTTCGATGGTTGTGCTGTTTGATTCAGAAATAATTATATTTGCTGCATCATGACCTTTATAAACATATTTGTACAAATACTTAACTGACTTAATACTGGAAACGACCTCTACGTTTATATGACCATTAAATAACTTTAACAGTGTGGGGTTATGTGGTACGACATACCGATTATCGCAAACGTATCCATCAGAAGACCTTTTAAATGACATACCAGGATTTCTGCGACGGTAATAAGGATACCCATTTTCATCCATTGTAGTTTCTTCTCGAAATTGTTTTGGGTAATTTTTAGAACAGGTCTTCTCTTCTGTTAAACACCAGTCACCACATGGTCCATGAACCATATTTCCCAACACAATGTTATGCAATATTGGTTCTTCCTGAAAATCTGGAATTTCTGCTGATATGTATCGATCGACAATTTCAGGGGTTGTTATTTTTTGTGACTGCTTTAGAGTAACTAACATATGTACATGAGGTAAGCCTCGTTTTTGGAATTCAATGACGTAAACATATGCTTGTACTTCACCAAAGAAATTTTGATTTACAACCAAATCAACTAATGCATTTTTTTTTATGTTGAAGACTCTGGCCACCAAATCTGGTCTATCAGATGCATGTTGTCCAGGTAACAAGTTTTCGCTGATTTCTCGCCATTTTGGATTGCAGGTCATAGTTATAAAAAGGTCTGGTTTACCATGTTTCCTTACTATTGTCATTGCGTCTTGATAATTTTGTAGCATATTTCGAGGAGATCCTTGGAATGTTGATGGTAAAACTACCATTTTGCCCACATTTCCATTTTGGTCTTCTGCCCGTTTTTGTAAGTGGTCAACCAAACCTTGATATGATTCTGCTCTGAGTTTTTTTTGGTTTTCCTTACAAAAATTAATGCGATCTTTTTCAATTTTTACGTAACTGTCAACTAACCACTGCTGAAATAACCTGCGCCCTTTTAAAAATACGCTGATCTCATCACGGACTGCAATTCTATATTTGGTATAAGCCGCCCGTGTAACTCTTCGAGATTTATTTACGCACTTTATGTCTTGATGCCAGCCTCGTGTACCGAATGGATAAAATAATGGATATATCCATGGTTCTACATTGGGATCCATGCTACTTACATACTGCAATGATTTATCGTTTTTGTTTCTTATCGTAACATAGGACTCTGGAATGTCGCCATCAGCTGTTGTAGAAAAAACTGCAGCCACTTCATTGACCCTTTGAAAATTGTAGCGATTTTTATCCACACCTGGTTTTAATGTAAATAAAAGTTGTAATTCAGGATCATAATCTGCATGCATGGATTTTTGATTTTCTATTTCTTCATTCATCATTTGATAGGAATGAACAAATACATTGTTTTCCCGCATTATATCATCAATCAACTCCATGAGCTCCATGTCGCATTCTGAATTGTTCTTTTGTCGAAATTCTGCTGCTTCATGTGCATCAACGATAAAAAGTTGTCCATAACAGGGATTTTCGCTAGAGGACGGATATAGTGCTGTATTAATTTGGTAGTATATTTGCCCGTGTATCTTAAAGCAATATGGTCCTGGTCGAGAACTAAACTTAACTAAATTAGCATTAAAAGATGCAAAAGAAAATGAACTATTGTAACTTCGGATATGTTCAAAAAAAAATCGTGATTTTGGATGGGAGCCGCAAAACAATGACTGTAAATTTGCAGGAAGAGTGGGTAGAGGTTCCAACCGTATTTGACCATGTCCACAACAATCATTAAAAGAATTGCCTCTATTCGCAACTTTTTCAGAAGCAAAATGTCTTGCACCACAATGTATACAAGAAATATTCATTACACCAATATAATGCTCACTTGTTGAATTTTCGAGTCGGAGTAGAGCTAAATCAATAAAATTATGTTGCCTTGAGCGATAATTTCTTTGATGTTGTGTCTGTGTAATTTTTTCATTTTTTTGTTCCGCATTAGAATTACCGCTCATTTTTTCAATTTGGGCGGCTCTTTCGCGACTTCGACGTTGATTTTCATTATTTCTTTCGCGTCTGAGTCTCATAACCTCCTCCTCTTCTTCAGGAGTACGGGTAATTTTTCTTCGGTTCATAATTGATGGTAATAAATTAAATGTAAAAGAAATCTATGATAATAATTTAGACAAAGTTTTGATTTCAAATATGAGTTTTATCTAAAATCTTTCTTCTTATTTGGGTCTATGCAGGTCTACTTTTTATCTAATTCTATTCTCTTATTTTGGGTCTTTTTTCTGGATTTAAATCTGGATTTTCTAATCTTAAGTCTGTGTTTATACTCTATATAGTGTAACAGTAATGTTTAACAATAGAAAAAGTCTCACCTTATCTACAGCTTCAATAGTCACTGCACAGCACAAATACTTAGGTAGGTAATAGGTAATTATTTATTGGCCGATGTTTTTGTCATACTATTAGAAAAACACGTATGTTAACCAATTTCGTTTTCATTCAATAGGAGCACTTATGGGGCACTTCTAACGAAAAAAACACGTAAAAATAAAAAAAAAAACTGTCAAATATACAAAAGACTACACTGGAGAGTAATAAGTTATAATCTCTAATAAAATTGACAATTGACATGCAATTCAGTGGCGTATCATTAGTTGTATTCCTTTCAAGATTTGCAGGGAACAGATGCGTGGTGCAACAAACAATTTTCGAAAAGAATAAGGGTGGGTATTATAAAACTGCTTTGACAGTTAACTTGAAGTTAATTTTTTGAATTACATGTTAGAAGTTAACTCTCAAAGTAGTTTTATAATACTCGCCCTAAGCGCGTGAAGCCTCGGAGCTGTTCCAGAGCTCCTCATAAGTGTGAAAGGAATACAACTATTAGGGGGAGTTCAGAAATAACACACCGGGTGTGAGTGCGATTTTATGGGTGTGACTGAAATGACAATTCTTAGGCGATAATTTTCATATGAATTTCTGAAGACTTGGTGTGATCAATCGAGCATCTCCTCAAAAATTTCACCAAATGTATCAAGATTATATTTTTTTATTGTTCATTTTTTTAATTGAAAAAAAACTTTAATTTCTATTTGTGTTTTATTTATATTTGGTGGAAATAATGACATTATGGGAGGAATGGTTGATATTAGCCGCTTTCCAGCTGTGTGCTTCAAGCACGGTGCAGCACAGTGTTCTGTGTTTGAAACGCAAAAGTTAGCAGCTCTCGAACCGCAGTATGGCTGGAACACGAACACGCGCTTGAAGCATTTGCGCACACAAAAGCTCGATTGTGTGCTCAAAAGCGTCAGCTGGAAAGCGGCTATTATTGTTGACATAAAGACATAACTACACCAAAGCCACACTAAAAAATTGTGGTGTGGCCATTACGACACCTGGAGCGCGCCCGAAGTACTTTCTGAACGGATCATAGAACGCGCACTCGGTGTGCCTATACCAATTATGAACAGCTAATGCGTTGCACTGATGTCAAACTCACACTAAGGGCGGGTATCATAAAACTGCTTCGATAGTTAACTTGTAGTTAACTTTTTGAATTACGTGTAATTTCACAAGTTAACTTTAAGTTAACTCTCAAAGTAGTTTTATAATACCCGCCCTAAGTATGTCATTCCTGAACTCGTCGTAGTTGTATTCCTTTCACACCTAGGAGGAGCTCCGGAACAACTCCGGGACGTTACACGCTTATTCCTTTCGGAAAGTGTTTGTTGCACCACGCACGCATCTGTTCCCAGTTCAGAAATAACGCACAGGGTGCGAGTGCGATTTTATGGGTGTGCCTGAATTGACAATTGGCCATTGGGCCCATAGCACCGTTTAGCATTTTTGAACAGCTAGGGCGTCGCACCGGTGTCACACTCACACTGGGTGTGTCATTCCTGAACTCGCCCCTTGTGTGCACTCGGTGTGACGCTCAGGGTGATTTCGAGCGCACTCTAGAGATGTCGTAGCTGGGTTCGGTAATTGCATCTGCGAGTAAAAAAAGCAGATTTTGACGGTCGTCACGTGATGATTTATCTTGCTCCACTTGTCAAATCACGTGACATTTGTCAAATTTTGCTCATTTTGCTCGCAGATGCAATTACCGAATCCAGCCCTTATCCAGCGCATACACAAACCCTGCCTTCAGTATTTTGATCTGAGTTCTCCGAGCTTGAATTTAACGTTCGTTTATTCAAAAAGTGTACTCGGTGCAGGCTCGTCCGCGTTCTCTTTTTTTTTTCAATTAAAATCTCTGGCACTCTGATACATCGTTCAACTGCTCTGTTCGTTCGCTGATCACGTTATTACGGCTCCACTCAGTACGCTCCGCTCTTAGAGCAAAATACCGAACGCAAGGAAATTAACAGATGTGGCATTCAGAATATAAAATTTAGGGTGGGTATTATAAAACTACTTTGAGAGTTAACTTAAAGGTAACTTCTGGAATTACATATATAATCAAAGCCCCCTACAGTAATAAGCCATGAAGTAAGAAATCTGGCAACATGTCATGTGGGTCCTATGTTTTCGATTCAGGTTAGGTTTTGAATGTGTTTATTATATTTATTTTATTTATTTGTTATTATTATAGCGCATATGATTCATCTGTAATAGTTCAAAAGATCAATAATTGTGCCCTGTGCACTTTTTTATCAAAATTTTAACCGCTACCTTAATCATCTTTTGGTTTGTTTACTCAAATTGTTCCCACAGGACGCCGACGAACACTTTGTTTTTGTCTTTAGTAAAGGTAAGAAATTCATCATTTTTATATCAAAATATTACATTATGCAATTTTTTTATTTATTATAGATGCCCGATTATGCTGTGTTCGAGGTTACAAGTGAATTTTGCAAATTATGGTTACCAGCCATTCATAAAGAAAACTTCCAAATTACAAAGAGTTCAGTTGTGTGCTGTGAATATTTTGATACTACAGAAATGCAAAGGGTGGCATTACAAAAACAAGGAAGGAATTTGGTGTGAGCACCCTCTGATGCAACCTAAACTAATGAAGGGGGCAATTCCCAATTCCTCATATTATATTTGAAAATCAACCAGAATACCTATCTATCAAGACATTCAGTGACTAAACGAAAAGATCCCCAGAAGACAGAAGACAGGAACTACAGGAAATTTTGAAACAGGAAAATTGCAGAACTATTCAATTCAATTACCAATTTTGAAAATCTAGGCAAGGAAAATATTGAGTCCAAACTCCAAAATGTCTCTTAAATGAGTAGTTATAAGTATGTGTTGGTGTTTTATTTATCCAGTTCATTCTTTTTCCCAAACAAATCTCGAAACAAATACAATAATATCATATTTTTGAAAAAATATAGAATCAAATCATTCATCTAACCTAAAAAATCTGCTTTCAAAGGCAGACCAGCAGAGCCACTATGCGGTGTTGCCATTTTTACTTCATGGCTTATTACTGTAGGGGGCTTTGATATAATTCAAAAAGTTAACTTCAAGTTAACTGTCAAAGCAGTTTTATAATACCCGCCCTTAGTAGTATAGGGATTAACAAATCACTGGAAGTTAAAATTAAAAATTCATTACATAATGACTAATCAAAATTTTAATTGAAGATTGAGTTTTTCGAATTAAGATTCAATAAATTGAATTAAATGGGGACAGTTCAAAAACTACAGAATTGAATTCTATACCAATTTCAAATTCTTCGATTTCATCTGGATTTGAAACGCAAGATATTTTTTAATTATCATAATTCGATATTTTTAATTTGGTTCTTCGAATTTATGTAAAATTTGAATACGGAAATGATACCTATATTCGAAAGTGACCACTTTTCTCATACATAATAATATTTGATTTATATAGTTATCTTTTTGAGAAAAAAAATTGATTCCCAAATTTCCAGTTTCAATGTAACGTGCCTAAATTAATGTAAAATTACCTTATCAAAATTAATCCAAAATTCGTTCCTCTTGAAAATTCTACAGATACCTATTAATATTTGAAAGGCATTTTTAAGTAACATCATTCTCATTGATACCTATATAGGTATATTTATTGATGTTAGATTTTGATGAATATATTGGTAAACAAATTGACAAAATTATATTTTACAATTAACCATTAGCGTTTTCGAGTATATCGGCTTTTTATTTAGATGAGTAATAAAAGGGGACTACAGAAAATCGTTTATTATTGAGACATAAAAAAATGCAATAACAAAAGTCGAAAAATACATGAATTGCAAAAAAAAATTCCTACCCAAATGAATTTTTCAGGAATGATAGGGGACAGATGGGTGATCATAAAACCGAAGATATCAAACATTCACCCTTCTGCCGTTTTGCGCTATAGGGGGTTGAAAGTGCGCCATTGGCAATTTATTCGTACCTGATTTTACGAAAAAGTGTTTCAGCTAAAAGATGTGCAACATTATTTGATCTACAATGTTTATCTAAAGACTTTTTCTATTAAGGGCCGTCTGTGGTCGTAAGGCCCTTTGAAGTTTTATAATGAAAATAAAAATTTTTACTCAACTTGAAATTTTTTTCTACAACACATACAACGTTTTTGCTTTATGAAGTTTTTCCTCACCCCCTGCCGTTTTTCAATAAGGGTAGTTTAAAAATTTTATATTTTTTTACAAAAAAAATTTCTTGATAAAAGTTTCATAATATTTCCTACAATTTTTTCTTATACCTAAACTTTTTTTGTGGCTCACCCCCATTCAGCGGGGGAATACTTCCCTTAGGGAAATTTTAGTTTTTAGGGGTATACAGGGTGTATATTTTAAGTGATACCACTATTACTATATTCGAAACGGTAAGAGCTACAAGGTCGGTTAAATTAGAGAAAAGTTGCCTTTTTTGATGCCCATTCAAAACGTTTTTACAGTGTTGTCAAATTCCTTTTAGTTTATGAAATACAGGGTGATTTCTAAAAAACGCCAAAAACTATTTCATCAACTATTTCGAAAACTATTGATATTCGAGACACAATTTAAATTTGAAAGTTTTATAATTTTTTTCGCATATAAAAAGTTGCAATTATTATTATTTAGAAAGTTTTTTTTTCCACCACCTTATTATTTTTAGGGGTAGTTCACCTATTTTCAACTTTACAAAAGAAATTTATTAAG